ATACGCATACACGCACACACACGCACGCACACACACGCACGCGCGCACGGACGCATACACGCGCACACACACGCGCGCACGGACGAACACGCGCACGTACGGACGCACACACGCGCGCGCACGGACGCACACGCGCTTACACACGCGCACGTACAAGAGCAGCGCGCACGAACGCACGCACATGCATACACCCGTAACTTCTATCCATTTGAGCCATCATAGCACCATAGACGTTAAACAGCTTTACAACGGCGTCGGAACAGCACTTATATTATAACCATCTAGCTGCCTGGTTTTTGTTATATTAGCAGTACACAAATGATAGATGATTTCTCATTCACATAAGCCTGCGTATATTATAGCTATATGGTTTCTTTTTTGTTACCTTTATGCATAATGCACTTCTCATAGTCGATGATTTAATTTCCACTTTAGATGACAAAAAAACTATGACTAATTTTCCAGTATATTTATTCATAATTGAGCTATTCTATTTTAATAATATGTTTTTACCATTTTCATAATTAACGTGTATGTAAGAGTAAAAGAATACTGCATGAAACTACTGCACTAAGTTAAACTTATAGTAAAACAATAAAATATTAATACAGTGTAAGTGAAAGACTATACTTTCGTCGACGATAATACCTTTACATCAGAGAAAATTACAGACAAGTGGACGTATAAAACGTTATGAGTTTACTTTTCAAACCTCATATAACTTTACGCCTTATTGTTAGCTTCTAGGAATTGTATTGTTGAAATAGAATTTCCTTCCCGATGCTTCCGTACCAACAACATGGCCGCTTCACAAACGCGACAGCTTCTTGTTTCTCGCGCGGAGCTGTCGCCTCAGAATCTTTCCGGATGCCGACATGGGAATCTCGCTGACAAACTCGATGCCTCCTCGTACCCGCTTCTGCATGGATTCTACGTGCACTCGTAGATAGCTGTGCAAATCCTCCGCCAGAAGGCACTGGTCGCTGCGCACGACGTACGCCTTGGGGAGTTCTCCAGCTTCCTCGTCCGGGACGCCGATGACGGCCGCGTCGGCCACGCTAGGATGCTGTAGCAGCTTCGCCGCCAGCTCAGCTGGCGCCACCTACAGTCACGCATCGCAACGATTTTTATTATTTTCTGCATTAGATTTATTGCAGAGATCGCATGCACGTGTGCATCTACGCAGCAACCAACAAAATTACTCTTTTTGAAACCAAATTACTTGAAGCATATTAATCTGCAGCTTGATAAAAAAAAAACACATATCCGAGGCAAATATAAACCTACATTTACGTTGAAAATATAAGCAAATGCAATAGAAAAAAAACGTATAAACACCGCATATACGTTTCATTATGACCTTGCCTCATAGATAACAACGGACAAACAAGGGTCATGAATGAATGGCAACTCACCTGATAGGCTTTATACATGATTAGTTCCTTAATACTGTCTACAATGTATAAACATTCATCCTCATCTACGTATCCCACGTCACCTACGTATACATCGAAGAATGATTAGGAAATGTATAAATAACATAAATAATAATAATAATAATAGTAATAATAATAATAATAAAAGTTATATATATATCATATCAGAGGTAGATAACGACAAATTTGTCATTATCTACCCTTGATAATATAATATAATAAATCACGTAATAGACGGTCAGTATGCTCATTTCTACGCCCGCACCCGTGTGGATCCATCTTTCCTTGTCCAGTGTGAATGCCGATGTTGTGGGGTTGTTGAGATATCCCTTCATGATCTGCAGACCTTTGATACACAATCGAGTGATGCGACATGAAGCAGCGCAAGTTTTAGGAGGTAGGAGTTGATCAGTTTCCTAGGCTTAAAGCGGGTGGCGATATACAGCTGAATAACGTCTATGTTATATGCATGTAAATATGTAACGTCACTGTCTGTAATCAACTCAATCTTATTCGATATATTTTCACACTTATAATAACAATCATGTACTCGAGGATCAAGAAATGCCTTTGCTGTGATTAGAGCCTGGCGATAAACTGGATGGAAACTTCTGATCATATTTCTTTCCGCTACTGCCGTACAGACGGACCAGCACGTATTATCTGAGTCTACGCCAGGCTTGGGTACCACGTGGTAGTGGTCATCAAGAAAGATTGTTGCGCCAGCTGGCTTGCCCGAGATTCGTATTCCCGGCGTGCAATCTACCGATATAGGTAGAAATTTAAAATGTCCGCCGCCAACAAATATCATATCAAATTGAGTGGAAACATTGTTCCATGCCAAAATATGTGACCTTTGTGTTTTGAATGAATGCTCTCTGTTTTTCATGACTTTTGATACAGCCTGGCACAATAGTTTAACAAATTCTTCCTTTAGATTTACCGGAATATGCTGCTTTGATTTTCCCGCGGGAATTGTTACAAAGCCAGCTTTATTAAATTTTGTGTTTTCAATAATAAATTGTTCTCGATCGATTTCGAATAGGAAGTCGTATTCGTCCGGCAGACCAGCTTTTGTGCTGTTGGCCGTGCTGCCGATCAGAATGGGCGTGCAGGAGAAGTCACCGTCTAAGTCTTTCATCTCCCTGCAGACTCGCTTCATCAGGTCTAGCACGGCTTTCCGCATTTCATCGCATTCCTCCTGATGCTCTAATCTTCCCAGGCCTGGCGTCTCCCATATATCAGACAGTGACGTCACACCACTGACATTACAGCGTGATATCTTACGTTCTATGTCACAATAACAATGGCCGGGCAGCTCACTGACAAAGTATTGGTGCGCCAGTATAGCGCCGGCGGATTTTTTATAGCCGTCGTTAATGGTGACCTTATGGGCGCGATCTACGGCCAGCTGGTACGCATTTTCTACGTCCTCAGGATGCCACTCCCTTATTTTATTCAATAATTTCGTCACAGTGCGTGCGTGACCGCCGTCGGCAGCCCACTCCAACACCGTCCAGCCATTGTTACTGTGACTCTCCTCCACACGCGCTCCTGCTGCTAGTAGCTTTTTGACACACGATGTATGACCTCTACGGGCAGCAAGCATCAACGCCGTTCTGTCATTCAGGTCCGTGTGTTCTATGTTAGCGCCTGCACCTAATAACGCTGTGACCGTATCCATATGACCGTTAACAGCTGCTGCCATTACTGCGGTGTAGCCATGCGCGTGCGAGTGTTCTATGTCAGCGCCTGCACCTAATAACGCTGTGACCGTATCCATATGACCGTTAACAGCTGCTGCTATTACTGCGGTCCAGATAGATATACACATAAATGTCTACTTAACGTGTGTGCTGTGTACCTAACGTTACCGGCTGTCTACCTAACGTACGCGGGAAAACTGACTGTCTATTTAAGGACTGATTTTACATACGGACGTATATATGACACTTTTAGAAAATGTTTTCTTAACAAGATCCCAGCATAGATTTATATGATAACATTCCATCAGTAGACATCATTTAAGAAATAGGAGAAAAACCTTACATGTAAGGTCCCCGTGTTAGCGCATGAGCAATATCTCACCAGAGGAGTTATATTTTGTCATGAATACACATTTAAAATGGTTAGGGGGTATCTCCGCATAGATTTCCTTAATAAACTTTCATCAGTAGACCTGTGTTTATAATTAGCAGAGCGCCCTAGCATGTAGGGTACAAAACACCTACTTTATGCCCTCGCGTCTTTCCCCTTGCCTCCACTGTCCCTCGCTCAGCCTCCTTCTTCTTTTACCGTTCCCAGCTATCTTCTCTGCGGCCTTTCCTCAGTCTCCCATCTCCTCTCCCCCGCAGCAAGCTATATTATGATGTTTTCCTCAGACGGCACTGCACGCTTAACACGTTGCGCGCGCATGCGCAATATCTCCCGAGAGAAATCGTATTTTGAAAAGATTATGCATTTGAAATGAAGAGGAGTTATCCTTGCATAGATTTATATGATAACATTCCATCAGTAGACATCATGAAATAGGAGGAAAACCTTGCATGTAAGGTCCCCGCTGCATATACCAGCCAGTACAAAATCTGGCTACGTTAGTGTGTTAGCGCATGCGCAATATCTCACCGGAGGAGTGATAATTTGTAATGAATATGCATTTAAAATGGTGAGGAGGTATCTCAGCATAGATTTCCCTAATAAACGTTTATCAATAGACCTGTGTTTATAATTAGGAGAGCACCCTAGCATGTAGGGTACAAAACACCTACTTGATTCCCTCGCGTCCTTCCCCTTACCTCCACTGTGCCTCGGTCAGCCTCCTTCTTCTTCTACCGCCCCCAGCTCTCTTCCGTGCAGCATGTCCTCAGTCTCTCATTCCCTCTCTCCCTCAGCAAGCTATATTATGACGTTTAATGCCTCAGACGGCACTGCACGCCTAACACGGTGGGCCCGCATGCGCAATATCTCTATACGGCTTTGTCAGAGGGGAAATGGAAGGTCGTGGTGTGGCTATACACGGAACACAAAAAATATGATGGAATTTAAAAAAAGAAGACGAGATACTATTTCCATGGCAACGCCTTTACCGACGCATACAAAAAAATATGTGACGCACATCTAAACTTCATGGTGATCAAGTGTATGAAATTTCATTGGAATCCCTTGAAAACAGTGGCAGTAGTTCGCGCCACAAACTTTTTGCAACGGCGGGGGTATAATCAAAGATGAGATAGGGTTTCCATGGCAACGCCTTGACCGACGCACACACAAAATATGTCACACACACACCTACGCTTCATGGTGATCAAGTGTATGAAGTTTGATTGGAATTCCTTAAAAGTGTTGGCACTGTGGAAGCAGTTCGCGCTACAATCTTTTTGCAACGGGCCGACCGACCGCCCAGCCGCCCGGCCGACCGACCGAGCGTAAGATGACTCCTATATACTCCCTTCAAATTTCGTTTGCGGGGGTATAACGAGTGAGAGAGAGAGAGAGAGAGAGAGAGAGAGAAAGAAAGAGAGAGAGAGGGAAAGAAACGGGGAAGAGAGAGGGTTCATAAATTCAATTTTTTTTATTTCATATGGATATGCATATTACCTCTACCTCGCCTTCTCCCTCTACCTCTCTCGCTCCAGCTCGCTCTCACGCTCTTCCTCTCCCTACCCCATCTCGCTATATACCTCGTTCTTTCTTTCGTTCGTGCTTTCTCTCTCTTCACGCTCCCTCTTATTCCAGTTTCGCCTTCATTCTCTCGCTTTCCACCATTTTTTTGTTTCTCCCTCTTCCTAAGATGGAACACATGCACATATAGTTACTTCTCTCGCCTTCTCGCTCACGCTCTCCCCCTTACACACACTCTCTCTCTCTCTCTCTCTCGCAATTTTCCTCTCTTTCTCGATGTAGACACACTGTCTGTTTAAGCTAGATAGTAGGAGTCATAACAAAATTGTGCACAAAGTAAAAATATCATTTGATTTACAAATTGTTTATTCGATTAACTATTAAAACCTAAACATGTACATGTAGAGCAAATTAATATAAAAAGGCTTGCTATACGCTATCAATCGGCATTAACCTAAAACGGAGCACACGCCTTTAAACGACATCCTTACGATAATTCATGCCGTCGTTGTTCACCAGCCACAGGGCGGCATCTGGCTGCTCTATTACAGTAACACACCTACAATGACTACCTAGTATGTATGTACAAACGACCCCATGGCTTCCCCGCGCACGCACACACGGACAGACGCGTACACCATTGATGATCTGCAGCATGCACAACTTAAGAGCTGACAAACACTGTTTCATAGTTTCTGATACAGCTACCAAACTGTAACAAAAGGCATCAGCAGCATAAAGAACGTAAATGTATTGGGCGAACGTGAGCAGTTGTATTGCACAAGACAAGGTAACAGCACGCTCATTGTTCCACAGCGACTGTGTGCACTGTGTAAATAACGATGCCTCACATGTCATTTGATAGTAAGGGTTCACTATCCTGCTCTTATCACAGCACTGCCTCCCTCCACACAGCGTGTTCCAACTTCCATCACGTGTCTGGTAATAATGCTGCACCAGTCGTCTATTTCCAACGCTACACGAATCATCTCATAGCAACGCTACACGAATCACGTATCCGTATGACCGTTAACAGCCGCTACCATTACTGCGGAATAGCCATCATCGCCCGCGTGATCTATGTTAGCGCCTGCAGCTAATAACGCTGTGACCGTATCCGTATGACCTCTAGCAGCTGCTACCATTACTGCGGTCCAGTCATTTACGTTCGCGTGTTCTATGTTAGCGCCTGCACCTAATAATGCTGTGACCGTATTCGTATGACCGTTAGCAGCTGCTGCTATTACTGCGGTCCAGCCATGCACGTCCGCGTGTTCTATGTTAGCGCCCGTACCTAATAACGCTGTGACTGTATCCGTATGACCGTCAACAGCCGCTACCATTACTGCGGTGTAGCCATTATCGTCCGCGTGTTCTATGTTAGCGCCCGCACCTAATAACGCTGTGACCGTATCCGTATGACCGTTAACAGCCGCTACCATTACTGCGGTGTCGCCATCATCGTCCGCGTGTTCTATGTTAGCGCCCGCACCTAATAAGGCTGTGACCGTATCCGTATGACCGCTAACAGCTGCTACAATTACTGCGGTGGTGCCATTTACGTCCACGTGTTCTATGTTAGCTCCTGCACCTAATAACGCTGTGACCGTATCCGTATAACCGTTATCAGCTGCTGCTATTACCGCGGTGTAGCCATCATCGTCCGCGTGTTCTATGTTAGCTCCTGCACCTAATAACGCTGTGACCGTATCCGTATGATCGTTAACAGCTGCTACCATTACTGCGGTCCTCGCATCCACGTCCACGTGTTCTATGTTAGCGAATGCACCTAATAACGCTGTGACCGTATCCGTATAACCGTTAACAGCCGCTACCATTACTGCGGTCCTGCCATTCACGTTCGCGTGTTCTATGTTAGCTCCCGCACCTAATAACGCTGTGACCGTATCCGTATGACCGTTAACAGCTGCCGCTATTACTGCGGTCCAGCCATCATCGTCCACGTGATCTATGTTAGCGCCCGCATCTAATAACGCTGTGACCGTATCCGTATGACCGTTAGCAGCTGCTGCTATTACTGCGGTCCAGCCATTCACGTTCGCGTGTTCTATGTTAGCGCCCGCACCTAATAACGCTGTGACCGTATCCGTATGACCGTTAACAGCTGCTGCTATTACTGCGGTCCTGCCATTTACGTTCGCGTGGTCTATGTTAGCACTTGCACCTAATAACGCTGTGACCGTATCCGTATGACCATTAGCAGCTGCTGCTATTACTGCGGTCCAGCCATGCACGTTCGCGTGTTCTATGTTAGCGCCCGCACCTAATAACGCTGTGACCGTATCCGTATGACCGTTAACAGCCGCTACCATTACTGCGGTGTAGCCAACATCGTCCGCGTGTTCTATGTTAGCGCCCGCACCTAATAACGATGTTACCGTATCCGTATGACCGTTAACAGCCGCTACCATTGCTGTGGTGCTGCCATTCACGTCCGCGTGTTCCATGTTAGCTCCTGCACCTAATAACGCTGTGACCGTATCCGTATGACCGTCAACAGCCGCTACCATTACTGCTGTGTAGCCATTATCGTCTGCGTGTTCTATGTTAGCATCGCTACACGAATCGTCTCATAGCAACGCTACACGAATTGTCTCATAGCAACGCTGCATCACTCATCCTATTAAACAGTTCATAAGTGCCCTCATGCTCATCACAGAAACGTTGCAGCACAACATCATGTAAAAGATCAGAATAACTTTGATGTGACATTTATTATAGAACGGTAATAACCATTGACCATTATGGCCCGTTATTGAAATTTTTTTGCGTATTCTGACGTCCATATCTCATAATTCACTTACTTGCATAATAACTACAATTCAGCATTAAATTTACTTTGTACCTCGACTGCGGCCCACGAATGAAATACAATCTGTCTGACCACACCTGCAGAATTATGTATTGAAAAGTGCACGAAATAGTCGTCCTTTTTTTGCTGTCGCTACTCATGAGTTTTGTACATAACCTATCGACTCAAAGAAGTGCTAGCTCATAGCAACGGGACATAATAAAAGGTAGTGTAATACACGCACAATATATCATACATTATTGTGGTGAAGGATGCGGCTCTAAATGACCTCATGAATGGTGATACAAATGATGGAGCAATTACTCGGTTCCAGTACGACAGATGTAGTTATAACCCAATAGCTTTATATATTGTTAATGAAATGCTTTAATAATACAGTTGCCTCTGTAATGTGTCACTTTAACAATACTTCAACAATTGGACTTGGACACCTTGGGTTATGCAAACTGAAATAACTTTTTCATGCAGAAAAAGAGTTCCTTTACAATGGTAAAAGGTTTACAAAAAATCTTTGATTTTATTCTGGTCATGGCACAGACTGATGTACAAGCACACACCCTGTGTAACATACTCGAGCAATTCACGTGCACCATTATGTCAGTACAATGTGGTTGAAGCAAATGAAACCGACTACCATATTACTGTACATATTCAGGCATGTGCACATGTATCTACACATATTTCCTTTCAATTGAACGTTTACTATCTTCTGTCATGGGTTGCCTTTTACTCGCCTAACCATATTCAGCATTCCAAACTACATAGATACGCATGTGGAGACATTCACAGGCATTTAGAAATAGCAGCTATGCAAATTAAGATAAGGGTCTTGACATACCATCGATAACATTAATAAACTAATAGCTGCTATTTTTGCACTGTCCGAAATGCAACAAAACCATAATGAAACTTACAGAGAGCGGTGACCAATGCACTTGTACATGTGGCTATGAGTGTGCGTGGTTGGGATCGCTATAGTTTCTCTCCTGTCTCCTGCTTATAGCATTATAGCATTATTAGCATTAGGTTAATAGGTATACAATAAGAAGGCTTCTGCTGTAACAGCTTCTTCCCCATCCGATTCACGCCGCACGGTTCCACCCCAGCCACGCCCAATCCAGATGCGCGTCGATCCTTAGGCATAACGGATTGCAGCAAAATTCTACAGCGATGATATTAACATGAACCCACCTACTGGCTCTCTCGATGAGATACTAGCAGGAGTAAGATAATATAGGTCCTATATTATCTTACTCCTGATACTAGCATAGCACGGATACTTAATCATTGACAAAACCTAGTATATATTTCTAATAAACCAAGGACATGGAGATCAGAGCAAAGCCCAAAGATATCATAATTGAAACCTACTTATGCTCTTTCTCCCTATCAAATTATTAGAAATAGATTATTAATTCGTCATTGATAACACCGAGCGATTATTAAGAAATGTTTGGTACCAGTTAATTATGACCATATTGTACATAATCTTACACATGTACACGTTAATCAGGAGTGAAAAAAACAACAATAAAAACTTTGTTTTATTCACTCCTGATGTGCATTATAAAGACAGCTTGTATGCACTTAATTTCCCTGGCCCAGTAACATATCAAATATTACATAGTCTATCAATTTCTCGCCCATATTTGCAATGATGACAAACATTATATGCTTAATGACTAAAAATGACACTATTTGGTGGGTGTATTAGAACTGAAAATCGAATTCTTCGATTAGAACACTGACCAAATCATCTATTGACATGCACATATGCGTATCTCATGGTCCATATATCGTTTACAGAATATTACTGTAAATAAATGGGTGAGTTGTGCCAAAGTGATAGCCCAGGCATACAAGAAATAAAGAATTGTCATTATTCACATTGACTCGCAGAGGCGCACACGTACCAATGCAGAGCGAATCTAAACTGAAGCGTGATGACTGCTTACTATGCATACAATGGAATAACCGTCAGCCATTCCAAGGCAACACCATGTTCACGATAATCAAGTATTAATCATCACCAAAATACACTACAACCCGTGTGTGCATGCTGGGGTAAAGTTTGTATATCAGTACAACCGGCATACTAAACAGTACAAATGCAAATAACTCTGGCTCTATTACATACTGATATTCAGTCTGACACCTAGATTAGCATTATACGTGGTTACATGCATGTGCATAGACAGGCCGTCCACTCACTCAACGGTGCATTCTTCATAAAACAGGTGAAGATGCTAGCAGTAGATGACGAAATGCTTGCCTGGCATCCACACACAGCTTCTGCTGCTTATGCATGATTCTTAAGCCCATCAGAGAATCGCAAATCCATCGTTATATAAACAGCCAACTGTCATTTAACATCGCGGAATCAATTTCGAGTAATGTCAAGCATGTGCTTCTGTGAGGCGAACATATTTCCGTTGCTGTGTAAATGAAAATGGTTACCTCTTTTCTACAGCAACGCTTGCCAGCACAATATATATACACAATCATAGCATTGATACGAGCACCAAACATGCTCAAATGTCTACTGACTCGCGCTATAATTGGCTGGGACAGTTAGTTAGATGTTAAAAATTTGGGTTTTCTCACCATAGTGAAAGCTAAAGCCCAGTTGGTATGGTCATATCAAGAGCGTATAAAGAAGGAGAGCGTACAACGGTGAAATGCTGAAACCATGTTGCAGTATTAGTCGAATTAAGAAACTGTTTTATTGATCAGCTGTCCTACCTTGCTAATATAAAACAATCCGCTTGTTCCTACGATGCTCCTACGCTGAGATAATGAGCAGTGAAAACCGATCTCGAGTCGGTTTTCGGCAAAAATACCAGATTTCCACCGATCATTATCTCAGCGTAGGGGCATCGTCCCTACAAGCGGTTTGTTTTATATTAACAAGGTAGGACAGCTGATCAATAATACTGCAAAGAATCGTAAAAGTAAAACGAGGAAAGTTTATTAATTCGACTAATACTGCAACATGGTTTCAGCATTTCACCGTTGTACGCTCTCCTTCTTTATACGCTCTTGGTCATATATATCCAGAGATGCCAACATATATTTGAAGCAATCTGTAGTTTCTGGCCATCAAATTAGTAGTTCGAGGGAGGGGGGATTATTAATTTTACACACACACACACACGTTCTAAATTGTAGTACATATGCTGCCACGCACATGAAACATTGTATTATGCATGCTTAAATGGTAAACACTTGACAGTCACACCGTACCATGAATTCTACCACGCCGTGGAACCGGCAGAGGCCTAGGCATCGCAGCGCAGCAACGCCGAGCGAGAGCGGCAAGGCACGGGACCGACCTGGACAATCGATTTCCAGGGCGACTTTTTCTTTTGAGGTCGCCCCCGATATCATGTTTTCGGGGGCTCTTTTTGGCATTTCGGGGGCGAAATCGCCTGCCGCCCCCGTGTATTTTTTCCCTTGTGTATTATCATGATTATAGACTGACGAACCAAAAATAATTTTTTTTTCCGATCACAGTGAAATTCGTAGTTTGATACAAACTAGTCGTAGTGGTGCAAAGGAATAGAAATTCGTATAAAATACGGATAAATCGTAGTGGTTGGCATCTCTGTATATCTATATGAACTCAGCACCGCAGTGATAACAGCGTGGTGCTACCCTGAACAGCAGATACTAGTGTCAAAAGTGAAGGTCGTCACCCTCTCCCCCTAACTCAGAGGTGCAGGCATTCGCAGAAAGAAAGCATGGCATGTATCACTGGTTGCGCATTCATGGGACAGGCTGTGTGACTGTCAATAGCAGCAACGAATGCACAGACAGTACAGCTACATACAGAACCCAAGCTGCTGCTCCACAGAAACAAGAATTTAACACTGCTAATGGGCACAAATCATGCACATGCACCAGCCCCAGCAAACAACTCTTCATACAGGGAGCCACGAAGCCCTAGTAGCATGAATCGAACTCGTTGCGAGAGCATAGTGAGCAGCAATCTAGCATACATAGCATGACAAGTGTGACTGCTGATTTACGGATTAGGCACGTTCCCCACAATATAATAAATACTATCGACCTACTTATGAAGTCTTTTAAGTAGCCCGTTTTTTCATCAAAGCGAAAACAGCCAACAAAAAAGTAACAGAATACTTTTAAAAGCATACATTGATATCATATACCAGCTGTATGTATTCATAACTACATTTATGAGTACTTCAACTTCTGCAACAGGCCTGCCATGACATACAATATATAATATTCTCATACTTTGAAATCCAGTCCTGCCGCTGTTTGATGCAACACAGGTATTGGATCGCCCTGTGGCAGAAACGTGGCTCGAAGAACCTCCACTGGTAGCGATGCAGTGAGTCTCTGTGCACGGACCCGAATTCAAGTGCCGTGCAGAACAACTAAGCCTGCCGTTTCACACGCGAACCACACGCGGGCACCACACTACAACGTCTCTTCCCTGTTTGACTGCATAGAGGACGTAAAAAGATAAGATTGTTGTACGGGTTCAGTCTGAAAAAATAACGAAACTGTGCAGACACCAGATTTGTTCGACCACAGACTAGATTCTGCCTAGAACACATACATTATTCAAAATGTCCTCACTGCGATTCAACGTCACATTTATTTGCTGAGGAATATGACTACGTTCTGGCACCACCGTAAGGTTTAAACAAATCAATACAAGCTTGCTGTTGGCTTCAGGCAATTTTCCCCACATTGCTCACACGTTTCTGTCACACACATACACTTGCATTGCATGGGCCACTTCATCGACTACTTACATCGTTATTTTGGTTTGGATATAGACGGTTGAAGATAGACTTTATCGCACTTCTCCTACAATGGGAAAAAGACAGTTAGTTGTACACAATACCAAAGTCAAAGGCACTAAAAAACACAACTGAACTGTACTTCAGGGTTTCTTCTGAGGGACAATTAGACAAGGAGGTAATGGCCAGTTTGAGAAAAAAACGTGCATGATGGATTCAAAGGTGTGCCATAGGCACGCATGCGGACGATGGGGGAGAGTGGCAGAGGGGGAACCCCCTCTTGCTGGGGGGGGGGGTCCCCCAGCTAAAATTTAAAAATTTGAATGTTATAAATTGTTACAGTAGCATTTTCACAACGGCAATGTTAAATTTGACAACGGCGGTCCGCCACTGTGCCTCTTATGTATAAGAAACCCTGTACTTAATTGCAAGGCCTTCATTTTATATGGAGAAACGAGCACCTCAAATGTATGCCTATAAATCCTCTATCTAGACATAGATAAACATTGTGGTTAGTGAATTAAATCTTCATTGATTTATAATACGTCCCAATTGCTTTAAAAAACGTTTACCCCATATTTAACATCAATGAAATTCATTTAACAATTAAAACATTTAGTTAATGCAAGAATATAAATGCATAGATTACAGCTACTGTTCATAACATACCTTCTCTTATTAAGACGACTTTAACACAGTTAACAAGGTTATACAAACTCGTCGCTCCAATTCAATATATAGTAGTTATTAATGCTAGTGCAGTAACGTTACACTTGGGCAGCCCATTATTACAGTAATTCTCACGACTGAATTGTGGTTTGTGATTTGTACAGCTGGTTCGTTAATAAATTTCACAACAAAGATCCAGAGAATGAATGTACCTATCAAATTACACTACCACAACATGCTACATTCTTTAAGAGATCAGGTAGCTGTGTCTGCACAAGTAGATCTCAGGTGAAAATGACAGTTGATATGTGAATGTGCACACTACTGTGAAAATATTTTGAGTTAAAAAGCAAGTAATAAAAAAAAGAAACGCCAAGACAGCAATGAATTACAGCATGTCAATAACATGTACATTGTAACGTCAACAATATAAAACATAATTCACCATATCTCCGCAAAATTATTAGATTGTTATGATCTACATCAGGGGTAGAAATTAACTTTTGAACATGGGAGTCCAACGGACTCCCTACCCTCAAAAAGAGGGAGTCCGTTGCAAAATGATGGAGTCCGCAGTCTGAACTTCAAAATTAAAGATATTAACAATAACGCATGTGCTTATTTTGAAGATTCGTGCGGTTACACGTCTGCCAAATTTTCTTGAGTTGGCCTCTTCGCGAGGCCATGCTCTGGAACGAACTAGTTAGTACAGTATGGCAGAATTTTCAGGGAGTCACACGGACTCCTGCATATGTCAAATCAGGGAGTCCGGCAGTAAATCAGGGAGTATTTGACTCCGGACTCCAGTTAATTTCGCACCCTGTACATGGTTACTGAGTATAACTTACTTGGCACAAAGTCCACCACCAGGCGGCAGGCTTGGAATATCCTCATTTGCCAGCAAGTGGATGACATCGCACAAACCTACTTCTTCAGGATTATCTCCGGATTCAACAATTTCTGAAGAACATAGATACATCAAGGCTGAGTGCATGCCTTTTCAACCAGTGGTGATCAACTGTACTAAGTGTGAAACTACTACTACTACATCCTGTCTGTGCATGATGTGCGTACATGCGCATGTATTTATTCCCCCAACGAAATTTAGCTAGCAATCAAATAAATCAATTAAACAGTTTCAAATATGTGAGTTAGGTGTAAAATGTTTATCGTTATCCTTTCCGCTGCTAATGAAAAACTAGTCATGTAGGAAAATCGCAAACAGGTTTTACACGGCTTACGTTGTATCCTCTTTTCTAACAATGCATCCAATTCGTTCTCCTTATCAATAGCTTCTTTTGACAGTTTAGGGGCTCCCTGGAAGGCTACGAGAACGACACTCATGTTATCTCTGCTACCCTAAAAAAGAAAATGGAACCAACGTTATAATATGATGCAACTCTACGACAAGATGACTAAGTGTTAAATATACGAAAGAAAATAACCAACAACTTGGGTCAAAAAATATTCTCAAGTTTCTTCCGACATCTATCTATTTAGTCTAATGTATAGGTTATCATAAGATCAACAATGATGTGGTGGTTACAAGCACCCAACACACCTTATACAAGCAAGTGTCAACGAGCTGGTTGCAGATGGACTCAAAGTTGTCACAGATTGCTAATCGTGATGAGACAAATTCGCAAACGTCCTCGTTTGACATCACGTCCCAGACGCCGTCACAGGCCAGAACTAGGAACTCGTCCTTCTCACAGTCCCGCTCCTGCATGAACACCTCCGGCTCGGGTGAAACCAACTGTTCACATTGTCCCTTGCCCTCCACTTGTTTGTACTCATAGTCTCCGAGCGCACGCGACACGGCGAGAGAGCCGTTCACTCGCTGGATCATCACACTGCCACCTGCCTTCTGTATGCGATCCTTCTCCACAGGATTCACCGGTTTGTGATCCTGAGTGCTGAAGAACAACTTCCTGTCCCTGCATAGAATAGCTCTGGAGTCGCCGCAATTGCCGAAGTAGATATGCATCGGCGACAGCAGCACACACACGGCCGTAGACCCACTCTTGTCCTCGCCACTCTGGATCTCCGGCAGTTGTCTCATGGTCTCGTCCAGTACCAGGAAGCCCTCGCGGACACCATGCACCACATTATCAGACGTTGGGCACAGCTGAGTCCCTTTCATCGACGATTTGAAAGACTCTGCATTCACGATGGCTGGCAGCAGGTGTTCAGCACAATGAGCGGAGACTTTTGCACCGGCGTGACCATCGTAAACTGCGAAAAACGACCAGTCCTTGAGCCCGTGTGGGAGACCGACAACTGCCGAGTGAGCATCTTCCATCTCTATCCTCCATCCTTGCATGCTGCTGACACCGAAGCGCAGCCCGTTGCCCGACCCATGCTCATTGTGCTTGTCTGTTTTTGGCTTTTCCAGAAAGGCACCCATCCCAATTTGGAATCGCTTGATGAACTTCGTGCAGTAAGCAGTAAGCAGTTTGACAAATAGCTGTAGTTCTCTATTCTGTGTAATGGAGTTTTTGAACCTGGAAAATCAAACAAAACGTGCAACGTTAAAGGTTTTAAAACTACTATTCTCATACACCGCAGTGACAGAACTTCTGGCAAGTCCAGATCATTTCCAACCAGCACCTATTTTCTTTCTAAATTCTAACACTGGACAACACTGGTCATCTGATGGTTTTCGTCCACACTGTAAGATATCATTGTGAAACTATGGTAATTCACTTTCAAACCTCATACCTCTACTATCCATTATCATTCCATCATTTATTGAAAGAGCACAGACAAAATTCATCACACTTACAGGGCGCGAAATTAGCACCGGCCCACCGGCATATGCCGGCAAATTGTTTGGCGGGCCAGTAACATTGGCGGGCCAGTAACATTGGCAAAACACCGGCCCTCCAAGCTGGTGGTTTCAGCCTTGTTAGCAAGTACCTACATTTTTAGCTCACCTTGACATCGTCAAGCTGAGCTATTGCCATGGGTCGTCGTCCATCGATTGTCCGTTCGTCCGTCCGTCAACATTTCGTTTCGGTCAACGATAACTCAGGAACAATTTGGCCCACATGTTTGAAATTGGGTATAGTTGTTACTGCTATGCTCCCATATTAAACGTCCAATTTTGAAGCACGCCAGTTGACGTACTTCCGAGCCACGGCAATTTTTTGGCAAAAATGGGAATTGCCATTAGTCAGTTCAGGTTCAACGGATTTTGCTCATTTTTGGTATGTGAATGAATAATGGCTAGGGTTTTGATATTTAAAAAAATTATGCCAATTAGTTTTTAGGGTTTGGCAATTATCAGCGATGATTATATAGACAACAGCAACAGTCTGTGGTGTCACAAACTCGTTCTGGTTCTTTTTACAAGATTTCATTGACAATATCTTTACATGCAAAATTGGTATTTTCCTCTCCACCCTGCCGATAAACGCGTCTATCTTAGAGTAAAGATTTAACAAACATGTTGGAACGCAGCATAAACCGTTATTTATTTCAAACGCCATCTAGCTACAAAAGCGGGTATAGCGGCCATCTAACGGTCGGCAAATTGTGATTCATTTTGTTTATAATTATTATTGCGGATATAACAGATGGCATCATTTCTATATGTACCGTCGATAGTTGCTCAATTCAAAACCAGACCTTCTTCTTATTCACTTCATTTGTGTCCATTTTGTTGTGAAGCTACAGTGTCATGTGACACTTTCATTATTTATAGCATTTAAATGAGAAAATAGACCTAGAATTACTGCTTTTACCTGAAAGATATATCAGTCGCCATAATTTTCTCCACATTTTAACAAAATTTATGAAATCGAGAATGCAAGCGTGAACATGCCATTTGACAAAAAACTTTGGAAACATGCATTGCGGACTGTTTTTTGAAACGAATCCTAATTACGGGCTTATAAAGCATTTTTTTAATTATCATTTCCAAGTCTTATATTTAGGGTCCCTTCTGGTTCAGAGACAGCCAAAACAAAATTTGTGAGGGCTGTAATAAAACTGCCGGCTGTTAGCCGATCCTCCTGGGCCGGTGCAAGAAATATGAATTTCATGCCTGACACTTAGGACTAAATTACCAACATCAGTTACTCATTGCATATGATAGTGCTAGTAAGACTAGATCTATCCTGAAGTCTCGAAAATCGCATGTCACGCACCAACCTCATACGCAGAAATAAAAAGCGAGTCTCTGTCTGACTATCTTGGTGCTGGTTCATGTTCAACCGATTTCTCGTTGTTTGCTATCAAACTGATGCAGAAGCATTAGAGGAATCAGTTTTATTTGCATACTGCTATCCACCAATTGGAGTCATTGCATACTGGTTTTTGCTTGCCAAATAGCATTATCACACCCTCAAGGGTTATTACTAGGGGTGTAACGATTCACCGATTACATCGTGAATCGCGATAACAGCAGCCAACCGCTATCAAACAAATGATATAATCGTACGCAACGTTTCCTGTATCGCAATACAAACAATACGATGTTAACAAGGGTAGCCTGTAAGCGCCAGCAAAAACTATTTTTTAAATAAAGCACATGTAATTTCTTTTAAATATGAATTATTTATTTTATTCTTAGAGAACTATCTTTCGGTATCAAGGTAAATATTCATCAGGCTTGTCCGTAGAAATCTGGGTCCAATATAATTATCAAGAAGCTGATATATGAGAAGAGTATGACCCGTTTGCATAGTATTAACCTTGTAAATATTC